GAGTGTGCAGCATGACAGAGGAGCTGACAGAGAGCAGAGCTATGACACAAACATTTCAAAACTGCATGATCTCTTACAGCATTACTTTGAAAATGACAAGTTGCTCTAAAATTCACCAGGCACTAAGCTAAATTCATTATTATGTGAATTATTTGTGAACATATATATGTGTTCATTGTATATGTACATACCATACCATTCCATGCCATACCATACCATACCATACCATACCATACCATACCATACCATACCATACCATACCATACCATACCATACCATACCATTCCATACCATACCATACCATTCCATACCATACCATACCATACCATACCATATCATACCACTTTATTTAGAGAGCTCTTAAAATAGCAACAAGGCCAACCAAAGGACTGTACAGCATAAACAAACAAGCAAAGGACACAACATATAATACATACAGTAGATCCAAATAGATAAATATAAGAACTAAATGACTAACATTATACAATACAGACAAGTTAAAATCAACTCACACAGTGTCAAAAGCCAGGGAATAAAAGTATGTTTTTAAGCGAGACATAAAACAAGTGAAAGAGGAGCCTGCCTGACATACAGTGGTAACTCAATCCACAGTTTTGGACCTGCAACAGAGAAGGCCCTGTCACCTCTGAGCTTAAGACGAATTCCTAAAACCAATAGAGGCATCTGATATGCTGACCTCAGAGAGCACTGTGGGACATATGGCTGCAGCAGATCAGTGAGATAGGAGGGGGCAGAACTGTTCAGAGATTTAAAAAGATACAGAAGGATTTTGAACTAAATTCGAAAGTGAACCGGGAGCCAGTGCAGGGAGGCCATAACTGGTGTACTGTGCTTTCTTTTTCATGCACCGGTTAAAAATTGAGCAGCAGTATTTTGGACCAGTTGTAGTCATGCAATGGAGGTCTGTCTGATTCCAAACAAAAGTACATTGCAGTAATCGAGCCTAGATGCTATGCCTTGGCAAAAATAACAAGACTGAGCGTTGCTTAAAACAGAAAGATAAGGCTGCTAAATACTGGGCACTTAAAGTGTGCTCAAATATCATATTTAACAACACCTCACATGGGTTCAGATTATTTGACATGAGCTTATCTGTCTCAATCTTCAAAGGTGGGAGTGTGATGATAAAGAAGTTGAAGGTGCATAAATCTGAAAAGGATGTTGGGGGGGATTAGAAATGGAGCCATGAATGCATGCATCAAAATACAGGATGTGACTTCCATTTATCAGAGGCTTGACAGGGTAGTAATAGAGCAGCACGATAAAATCTTTGAAGCACTGCCCCAGCATGATGCAAGAGTTTCTATATAAAGAAAGAAAATTAAAGATTTATGACGTATATCAAAATCAACTAGAGTTGCGTTGAAATTTGCTTAAGGATCTGAATCTTATGCTACAAATGCTGAATGCTAACTAAAAGCTGAAAAAAGCAAGTTGCTTGCAAAAAGTAGTAATCACAATATTCTTATGTGTGATGACAATACTTATGAACTTCTTTTACACCCAGGACATAATATGCAAAACCGTTCTCCTCCAGATGAGTTCAGCTTGTTGGTTTTTCTTTGCACGAGTGATCCGAACAGCACCTGACGTGAACAGGACGCTGTCTCCTTTTTGTTGACAACAGGGACGTGTTGCAGTCAAAAGCATCTGCAATCATCCCTCTGATCTGCCAAGATGCAGTAAAATAATCTATAAGGTGGATGTTTAATATGTCTGTGTAACATTCAGGGTCACTGGGATTATTGTCAGTCAGGTATTCACATTAAGCCATGAGAATAAAAGAGGCATTTCTGAAATATGTGGAGCAGATTGCAGCGTCTCATGTGTCGCGCCAAACTCTCCATCTGAGCTTGATGTGAGAGGCTCAGAGGAAGATGACAGAGTGTAATGAACACTGTGAGCTCAGATTCTTCTGATTGGTTTGTGTCTACTTTTATTCTCCTTTGAGACTGTTTTCTTCTCCCCCTCTCCACCTCTGCATCTCATAATTACCCCCTGACTGTTTTTATATTCCTCCCTCGCTCTCTGGCTTACCCTATTTCACCTTGCCTCTTTCTGACTCTCCTCTCCTGCGAAGATCCTCCTCTCACCCCACTGTGCCATATCATTACTATGAGCCCTCGGGGCCCGACGAGTGCTCCATTTACCTTCTCCACGAGAGAAGCCAAAGAGGAAGCCACCATCGCTTCATCACAGAGAAGGTGGTGTTCTCAAACTGGGCTCGAACTCTCAACATCCACTTCTACCAGCCCGACTGGGGGCCAGCGAACAGCTCGTGCACTTCAGTTCCAGCTGGTTCTTGGGACTCACTCCACAGATGACGAGAGCGTGGTGGACAGTTTCCAGGGTGATGATTCCTTCTCTTTGCCATAATGAACGTCTGAGACAGCCGGAGGACGGGACAAGTTGCTTGAGCCTGTTGGAGGAGTATAGCAGCTGCTTGGTAGAACAAGACTTTTGAACAAAAGCAGCTCAAAGCCTCTGAAAAGCTTTGAAAGTGTAACTTGAATATGAAGAATTTGAGAACTGGAGTCAAAGCTGCACTGAGGTTTATTTTTAAGACTGGACTGCTGTGAACGCTTGAGCTTTCAGAAGGAAGACAAGGTGTCATAACAAAGACGATAAATGTGGTATATGTGAATCTATTGTTCTAGATTATGTTCAAAATATTGTATTGTTTAGTAATATATATGTTTAGACTTCAGTGATTAGAAATGATGGAAGTTGATCAATGACTCAAACACGTCCACCAGTCATGTCACACATTTCACTTCTTTTCTATAAACGTCTCAAACACTTCATGCTGTAAAGATTAAACATACATCAGAACAATTACCAACATTTATCTGTATTATTAGAATATTGTCCTTTTTATAAGCCAAATCTAGAAGTAATGCTTGTTTTGATTAAATCTGATTAAAAAAAAAAAAACATTTAAACAAGCCTAAACTAAACACCTGGACTATTCAACTAAACTGCTCAGGGGACCAAAGTGACTGAAAGTCAAGAGCTCAGGGGTCAGACATCCAGCAGTTATTGTCATTAAGTTTGTTTTACAATTTAAAACATACTTTTATTTAGGGCTGGACGATAAGGCAAAAACTTCTATCACGATATATTTCTTGATGTCGGTCGATAACGATATAATTTTGATATCGATATCAACAATATAAAAGCCTCAGAAAAACTGTACAAATAAATTAATGTTCACCTTTTATTTGTATTTAGCCTTCAAAAGAAATTTTAAATCACCATCAAATAAACATAAAACTCTCAATCCAACATTTTTCAGGCAGGTCATCTGGACAGTTTCTTTTTTTGTGCTGAAACGTTTCGCCTTTGATCCAGAAGGCTTCATCAGTCAAGGAAACACACAACACAAAACTGATTCTTCCCCTAACAGCTTACTCCAAAGTGGAACAAACCAGTTATGTTGGTGCTAAGATGGTCTCTTTGCCATGCCCCCTCCTCCATCGCCGACCCTCTTCCTTGTTGACAGGATTATTCAACCAGTTTGATACGACTGTAAACCACAGGCAGCACGCATGCGCATTAGGTGAAGGTACAAAATTCACGGCGCCATCTAATGACCTAGCATGGTAACTACAGCGGATTCGGAGGGTGGGGGGGGAATCCTCCGGATGCACGCAAACCCAAAATGCGACCGTGTCAACGCAAATCTTTTCCTATAATTAACATACGAATAAACCTACGTTTCCCCCCATCGTGTCCGTGTAAATAGAGCCTCAGACTTTTACTGTGCTTCATCTTCTGGTTCTCAGCATATTCTATTGAGTGGAACATGTTAGTTGTGTTCCCACCACTAGCTGGAACTCCAGCACATGTTGCAGCACATTGAAACCTGCCGTTGATCAGATCTTAGAGAGCCGAACCACTTCCACAACGCCAAATTAGTCTTTCCTCTCATCAGTGATGTCATCTGCTTTCTCTTCGCTTGTGAAAGCTTGTTCAGTCACATTTTGACGGCCATGGGCACTCATTTTGAAGTGAAAACATACAGCACATTGGAGTTTAGCCTAGCCTGTTACCGCTGCTGACTCCTTCTGGACTCGAGCTCTGCGTAACATCTACGTCACCACGCACTTACGTAGTTGTGTCGCAGCTTTTTCTGTCCGGGTTGAAACTGAAGCGACCGCTTCAACCCGAACAGAAAAAGAAATGTGTCAGTGAAATGCTGTAATCATACTGAAATACCAAAAAATGTGCTTAAAACTCATATCACCATTATTTAATAAAAGTATATTGTGACATATATCAATATTGAATTATTGTCCAGCACTATTTTTATTTAAAAAATAACCAATTGGTGGGCCGAACTAAGCTCAACTGTGGGCCTGATTTGGCCCCTGGGCCGCCAGTTGAATATCCCTGGTGTAGCCTTTCATGCCAGAGTTTTTGACTAAGATCATCATATATTGAGAAATGAAGGATTTGTAGCCATTTTGGTCAAATCTTAAAATGAATCTGATTCACAGTTTAATGATGCGGCAAGAAGTCAGAGTATGTTGTGAAAAGCTACGATTACACCAAATATCAGCTCAATATCTGTCAAACTGACCAAGTTATGACCATTTTTGTGTTGGCTCGTTTCGATTAGCTGTGGCGGCCGCCTTGAAGTGAAGTGACTCCAAAAGTTAATCATTTGAAAATGTTTGTCCAACTATTACTTTCTGAGAATTTATTTCATGTCTTAAGCATTGATATTTTAGCAATATTTAGCGCTTTGTATTTATGTTCTCTCAGCAACCACATCAAAATTTAACTGAATATCTGCGAGACTGACTGAACTTTAGCTGTTTTTGTGTTTTTAAGGTCATTAGCTGTGACTATCATATTGGATTGGGTTGTCTCTAAAAGTTAATCTGTTGTACATCCAATAATCTGTTGCAGAGATTGTGACTAAAGTTTGTCCGGTGGTTAAAGATGCTTTGCTTGACAAACAGAAACATGGACCCACACACAGGCAGGAAAACACCTTTCGGCTACAATCGTGGGTAAATTTGTTTTGTTGGTTTGTCAACAAGCAAAAAAATGTTCGCTGGAACCTGCATTGTTAAACAACAAGAGAAGAAATTTTACTGTAAACAGATATTTGAAGCACAATTCCTCAAATGTTAACCAAAGATTTACAGTGTGTTCAGAAAAATGCAAGTGTTTTAAAAGATTTTGTAAAGTTTAACAAAGTAATGACTTATAATTCCTCTGGTTTGTCTTTATAAACAGTTAATGGTGAAAATTGATCAAATGTTTGATGAAATTATAAGAATGGAATGTATACTTTACAATTCATTTAACTTTTATTTACAATAGTTAATAAATGTTTCTGATTGTTTTACACTTTTGAACAAAATTTACTACATGTCGCAGATGATGATCCAAATAATGTTGGTTCTGGTTGTGCTTCAGTAAAAATATTGTGATGTGTATTTTCTATTTTTCTTTATTTGTTTATTTTCACATGTCTTTATTTGTTAAATGTTTGTTTATTTGTTTGTTTAACAGACAGACGGATGGACAGATGGACGGATGAACAGATAGATAGATAGATAGATAGATAGATAGATAGATAGATAGATAGA